AGCAGGATCCTGAACAGGGAGATCTTCTCCTTATCAATAGGGATGCAACGTCCCTGAGGCAGATGTCGGAGTGGGGGATGAGGATGATTCAAGGACAGTTTCCAAGAATCAAAGACAGGATGTTCTTGGAGGAGCATGGAGACAGGAAGATTATCATGAACTTGTTGGTCAACCTCTACAACTACCAATGCAGCACAGTAGGACACAACCAGATCCTGTCAACCTTCATGAGGACACCAGCGGCGACGGAGGCCGACGTGGGACAACCCTACACAAAGAACGCTCTTGCAGGGGGTTTCTTCCATGTAGGACGCGATATATCCCCCCATGGGAATGACATCTTTGGGTGAATCCCATGGTTGATCGTTTAGTTCTTGTTGACCGTTTAGTTGTTTCTTAGAAAGGAATGTAATTAGGAAATGAATGTAATTAGCAAATGAATTAGTATAGTTGACATCCGCAGTCGACACACGTCCGCCGTCGACACACTCACAATACAGCACGGCGATGATGCACTTACCGGTGTTACAGCACGACGATGATCGCGATGATGCACTTACCAGTGTTTCTAACCCTCGTCTCATGGTGGAACGTTTGTCCTTGTTAGTTTCCTTAACCATTGTTTAATTCTTTGCAGTAAGCAGTAGCAGTTTCTAGTTAAATGGGGGGGGGGGGACAAGCGCTGTTACTGCTGCTAATAACACGCTACAGTACGGCGTTGTGTTCCTTTGCGGTTTTCATGTATCGTTTGCGGTTTTCATGTATCCTTCCGGGGCCTGCCGTCGCRTTGCTTAATACACTCCAATGCMGTAATATAYATGGGAATATCCTGCAATGAATAAGACTTCATTCTTATACTGGTCACAAAGACAACTATATGATTGATTCTTATACTGCCGCAAAGACAACTATATGATACATGTCATGTGCAAGCCGATCCAAACCGTTTTCGTGGGAATCCCCACAGCTTTCGTGGGAGTCCCCACGTGCTAAAGTAGCAGGAACTGGTTTCTAATCCCGCATTGGTATGCACAAAAACCTATACTGAAGGAATAAGTAACATTCCTACCGCCGTCTACTGGGGAAGCACGATATACTGTATACGAGGGCCACACTCACACTGGTATGTTTCACTCCATTTAGTTCATTTGAATTAGTATCGAAGGAGTGTATTTGAATTAGTAATTAGTATCAACTTAGTGTTTGCTCGGTTTATTCCTTATCACCATGGGAATCGCCTCCGTCTTCTTTACTGGGGCGTTTGCTGATCGATTGGTGAGTGTTGTTTCCGCTTTGCCACTGCTGAAAGCAGGCCATTGCCATTCCGAGAGCTTCCTTCCACATCTGATTGGTCTCTTTAGCAATTTGGCTTGCCTCTTTTGCTATTTGCGAGTGCTCCTTTGCAATCATGGACTGCTCCTTTGCAATCTTGGACTGCTCTATAGCCATCTCACGATTTTCTTTGTCCCTTTCTTGCTGGTTAATCAAGTACTCATTGAATACAGTCGCGTCGGGAACTTTTGAATAAGGTCTCTTATTTGGAGTACCGGAAGACTGTACTTTTGCGGGCAAGATGGCTGACTCCCTCAAGGGCAAGATTGCTGAGGGCTCCTTGTCGGGCAAGATGGCCGAAGGCAAGATGGCCGACTCCTGTACAGTCAATGCGTCTCCAGCAAGGACAATTTCAGCAGAGGGGATCCTCTCCAAACTCCTCTCCAAACTCCTCTCCAAACTCCTCTCCAAACCCTCCTCAGCCTCACTATCGATGAAGCCTTTCTTCATGTCAAAGTCCTCCTCTCCGGTACCAAGATTTGCCTTCTTTCCTATCAAGTGATGGGCGAGCCTGGCAAGCCTCACGTATCTAGGCATGTTGGGGTTACCAGTTGAGCTCTTCTTTTTCTTGATACTGTTGTACTTGTTCCTGATGGATTTCTTGCTTCTATCAAAGGGATACTTTACAGCATGCCTGGTGACGACAGTATCCCACTGTTCTGAATCAATGGGGAGCACCTCCACTATCAACTCCATGAGACTCTCTAGCTCTTCCTCTGAGTAGTTGTAGGAACCAGCTCTCCGGCCATTGTTGGCGTTG